AAATATTGGATTAAAGTTGAAAAGATTTTATGGAGGCAGGGGCTAAAGTGTAAGTTTTGGACTTAAATTGAATCCAATATTGTAGGGAAGGACTAATATTGGAAAAATGAAATAAAGTTTAGATGGACACAGGTTTAGACCCGATAACATCCTTCCCTCCGTCACCCTCTTGTGCAGTGTTCATATTTAAGCAATGCAAACCCTAACCCTACTATGAAGCATCCACCACCACCTTATACCTCCTAGCAGCTGGCCGCCGTCACCATCCATCTAGTTCATTTTACCGACCAGCTAGTGGCCATTAAATGTCCACCATTCTTCCTCTTCTTATCCTCTTTTAGCCACCACCGAAGGTGGAAGTCATCCAGCCGCCGATGCTCTACCGAGCCGCTGCTGCCACTCCTTCGCCATTAAAACACCATAACTCTGCTGCCTGGTTTCGTTGAAGACCAAGCTGTCGTCGGGGATGCTCTTCTGCCACCGTGAGATGGTGGTTGAGCTCGTGGACACATGAAGCAGATGCGTTGTGTGGTTGTAGTAGGGAAGAAATGATGGTGTGTATATTTTCTGATGAGGAATCGCGAACCGACATGGGAGGATGTCAAATGCCTTGCCCACCGTCGTGCCGCTGTTGTTGCTGCTTGACGCCATGTTGTTGTTGCTGTCAGACCTCCGTACGCCACCGTGAGGTGGGTGGTCGTGTTCATTCCCAAGCAAGAGGCGTGTTTTGTATGTGTGTTTTAGTTGTAGGTGTGTGGTTTGTTTGGCGTGAAATCCAAGAACAACCACCACTTCCGCCACCACCATAAGGTGGTGGCTGACACCATATGCCACCGACGGCCACCACTAGGGTGGTTGTGTGTGTATATGTGTTCATTTTGGTGTGTGTATGTGTTTAATTGGGTTTTTGTGTTTTAAATTGTATTTTGGTAAAGGAATAATAAAAAGAAAAACCAGCGTGAGGTGGTCGCTGTCGTCGTATTGGATAGCGATGTGCTTAGTTTGTGTTTGTATTGCTTTTGGATTGCTTAGACACGATTTGACTAGAACCATAACCACCATTGTGAGGTGGTGGCCACCACCATGAGCCACCATTGACCACCACTACCCGAGGTGGTAGTGGGTGGTGCTTGATTTATGAAACCCTAATGGGCCTTATGAGACCCTAGTGGGCCTAATAAAGCCCTAATTGATCTAAGGACTTAGTTTTGGGTGTATTGGGCTATTATTGTATTGAAAACTCTAATTAGGGTTTAGAAAACCCTAATTTTGGAATTATTGATTTGCACTAATGGGGACCCGCATACTGGGTCATTGGAATGGAATTGTGAATTGCACCTGATCACACCATATGATTTATTTAGAAGACTGATGGACTTAATGGATTAAGTCCGTAATGGGTTAAATGAGAAACACTTAACCCTAATCGTCATTTTATGTGAAAACCCTAATTTCACTTGGGCCTTGAGTTAGGGCTTTCTATTGGATTTGGTGTTTAGGCTACTAATAGGCCATCTAAGAACAAGCATATGGATTAGAATATTTGGATTGGGCTTTAGGATAAGACCCATTGGACAGGTTTGGGCCCAATTAGGAAAATTAGGCCATAGATGGGCCATAACTGGGTAGGAGTCATGCTAACATGGTGAAGAATGATCACAGTGGCTACTACTGTACATCAGCAGCCAGGTTAGAAGGAGATGGGGACGATGATGATGGAGATTACGACTATGCCCCTGCAGCATGATTTAATTAACGAACATTTAACATTAACTGTAGCAAGGTGAGGGACCACAAAACCATTCATGGAGCTTCTATAGATTTTTGTATTACTAATGCATTACTGCTAAATGTTTTAGAATGTAAAACTCTTTGAGTTATAAAGGCAAGACATATGATGATCCTAGTTTCATGTGTTTAATTTGTTATTTTTATCTGTTCAAGCAATATGATTTACTATGTATGTTTGATTAAGGCAAGCCAAAAGACATTCACTTATGTTTGAACCTGAAAAGTTTATAAAAAAAAGGGTTAATGCATACTAATGTAACTTGATGCATGAAGTTAATTTCACATTCTCTGATTTTTACAAATAAAATCCACAATATTCAGGAGGATCCTAAGCAAATAAAAAACAACACTAATAATACCTCATTTGGTGATTTACTAGCCAAAACTATGTCAACCCATGGGCTTACAACAGATTTAATCTGGTCAAGAATTTATAAAAACCATAATATCTAGCTCCACATCATATTTCTCTTACACATGCAGATTTGTTCAAACTGAGATAAACATCTTGCATTGCAGGATGAGAAGCATCTCCGGCAAGAAACTCATAAACATTGCCATTAATAACCTCAATAGAATTTATGTTTGCAGAGCTTTTATAGATTTTGGTAGTACTATAGTGCAATGCTGCTAGTTGGCTAGGAGTCGATAATGGTTATACTGTGTGAAAGTATATATACTACTCTTATACTCAGTTGTTAGTTTTGCTAGACCAGAATCATAAAATTTCTAGTAATCGACAATTTCAACTGCTCTATGATATCTTTTCTACCACCTGACCATTGTAACTCGGTAGTTCTTCAACAACAGGTGTAACATTGCAGACACATGTTGCTAACATGTGTAAAGAACAATTACGATCAAATTAGAAACTCGTGAATACGTAATTACCCTAAAACTAGTGCAGATTACATATGGTCGTAAGCTATTCCTTTATTCTAAAACCAGATCGATTTCATCAAATGAAGGTCTGTAGTAGAGGCACCATGTGGTCAGTCGGGAATTATGGTTGTATGTATAATTGTGTATGGTTTTCTATAAGGAAATATTCAGTATTCCTTCATTAGTCACGACAAATATCACCATCAAAGATATTATGATCACATACAAAGATAGTGATACATAGACATAGATACTACTGTATATATAACTCAGGCCACTCGAATACGGATTGCATTGAAAATATCTATAGTGCTTATCACATGAAAATAAAATATGGACTACAATGACATTTTGTTACCCACATGTTAAATGCTATGGATACTTCATATCAGAGCATCCTGCATTGAACTCCATTGAGTTTAATGGATTATCATATCATCGTTCTAAAATTCATACAACTCTATTATTGTTTTCTACAATGCATTGAAGTCTACAAAGTTCAATAGAATATTATAAAATATATCTCAGTCCCTTTGAATAGCTGTTGACTACAGCCGTTATAGTGTACAACTTATAAAGAAGAATACATAATGCAAGAAAAATATTAAAGAAAAAATCGTACCCATTGCAAACACTAGTTGACAATGAACATTTACTCTTCTTGAACACTAGAATATCATTAACAGGACCAAATGAACCCTAGTTAATTTATAAATTAAACATGTTGCATCATATATATTATATAAGAATATTAATATGGCCAAGAGATATCATTATACCCGCTTATTTGAAAATTAGATGTACGCTATGACTTTTTCGATTAAAAAACTTTTATTGTCCAAAACCAAGATTATTTTCGAACAGAATGGTACTGTAGTAGACCTATATAAAAGCTAAAAAAAAGTTGGATCTAAAATCATATAAAGTGAAACTATTTAAAAAGTGACTTTTCATTATAAAGGTCAAGTGCACCCTGACTCAAGAGGCAAATCATAACACAACAGTCAAATTACTTATATTCTATCTTTTAATTTCTGGTAATGAGAGGATAATAAAGATACCATAATAACAATCACTTTTTTTAATATCTATTTACTAAAATACAGATTAATTTGAACAAAACAAACTAATATTACAAGAAAACTTATAAAAAACAATTGATCTTTAAGACTACATATGCTTTATAACGTGATCGTATTTACTTCCCCGACTTTGCAGAATGACATGGCAATGATCAAAGAATCCACCCTGCTGATGTGTCACCTGACAGTCTTATGGGGCTGAATGACCTGTCAACCTTATTATGTCATGCACATCCATTGGTAACGACTCCACACTTCAACTTTTTGATAGATTCCTGTCAATATGAGTGCAACATCCTTTTCTGCCATTTCTTCTCATTAAAAGGATGCCCATCAAACTCCAAACATTTTTCTCTTGTGGGCCACCTATCAAACTCTATACATTTCTTCTGATATGTCTGCTAAAAATTTTAGAAATAGGTGCCCCCATATACGTGAGGCACACGATTTCATCATAACTCCACACTTATTCTCGTGGGTAAACCTATGTGAAAACATACCCAGTTTACTCTTGCGCATAAATATGCATGGCTTCTAAGCTTCTTTCCAACTCACAACCACAACCTCAACATTTCTTCATAGTCTGTCATCATGGAAATGTCATCTGTTACCAAGTCAATCAGAGGGTGGTGGTGTAGGAGCCATACAAACAGGGAGATGAATGATAGGGGCTCCTACTATACACCAGCAGCCAGGTTTGAAGGAGATGGGGATGATGATGATGGAGATTACGACTATGCCCCTGCAGCATAATTTAGTTGATGAACATTTAACATTAACTGTAGCAAGGTGAGGGACCACAAAACCATTCATGGAGCTTTTCTAGATTTTTGTATTACTAATGCAATACTGCTAAACGCTTTAGAATGTAAAACTATTTTTCCTACTGCTTATAAGATGTAGTTGTGTACTAATCAACACATATGAGTTACAAAGGCAAGCTAAATGAGTATCCTAGTTTCTTGTGTTTAATTAGTTCGTTATTTTTATATGTTCAAACACTATTATTTCGTACCTATGATTTATGAAGACAAGCCAAAAGACATATTGAGTTTTGTTTGAGACTCACGAGTTTTATAAAAAAGGGTTAATTGCATACTAATCAAGACCTAACTAGGTGAATCAGATTAATTTGATATTCTCTGGTTTTTACAAATAAAATCAACAATATTCATGAAGATCCTAAGTAAATCGACATAACACAAATAATACCTCATTCAGTGATTTACATTTTACAATGAAAAACTATCTACATAGCATGTCAAGAGCTTTTATTGAAACCAAATTAACTAGCTCCACATCATATTTCTCACACACAAATGACTGTTTAAACAATGTGTTCCAACTGAAATAAATATCATTCATTTCAGGATGAGAAGCATCTCCAGCAAGAAACTCATAAACATTTCCATTAACCTCAATAGAACTACACCCAGGCTCCTTTCTAACTCCATCACCTCTCATTTTCCTTCTTACCTTCATCACATCTTCCCATCTCCCAACAGAAACATAAATGTTAGCCAAAAGCGTATAAATACTCGAATCATCACCTTCAATTTCACTTAACCTATCAGCTAAATGCTCACCCAACTCAAGATCGCCATACTATCTACATGCACTCAACAAACACTACTAGAAACACGGGTTTTAGAGACGGACGAATCCATCGCTATTCCGTCGCTAAATGTTGTTTGTGATGGATCAGCGAAAGATTCACTCCATAGGTAAATAAAATGTTGTTTGTGATGGATCAGCGAAAGATTCACTCCATAGGTAAATAAAAGGTGGCTAATGACTCAAAGAGGGTTTTAGCGACGGGTCGGCTTTTCCTTGCGACAAACTTAGTGACATAAAATCCGTCGCCAAATGTCACTCAATACATTTACCCAGGACATTATTGACAAAATTTGTTAAAGACATTCCGTCGTTGTTCTGTCGCAATTTCCCTGATCATTTTTTTTTCCGTAGCTAATCCCTTGCAAAGTTCATATACTAAAAAAAACCCATTGCTGATCCGTCGCAAACTTTAGACATGATTTTTTTTCCGTAGCTAATCCCTCACAAAATTCATGCATTATTATTATTATTATTATTATTATTATTATTATTATTATTATTATTATTTTGTCACTAATCCGTCGCGAACTTGTAATATCTTTTTTTTTATTATGATTCTAAAAGAAAAAAAATACTACAATCATCAAATTATTATACTAAAAAACATCAAATAATGATTCAACCAAACATTATAATATACAAAAACTATCAAAGTTACCAAAGTATCATGTTTCATATCATACTAAGCTTCATATAACTCAACCCATGAACATATAGTTGTATACCCTTGCTTACATACGTGCTCTAGAACCCGTATTTATAGGTGCACTCTGCAAAACAACACCAATATATAGCTTATATATGTCCCATTAAGTCCATTAAGTAAAAAAGATTGAGGATAAAAAAGTAAACTCACCAATAAGACACCATTCATGGCTCTTTCTTCCAAGAATCTTGATGGTTTATAAAAGTTGCCATATTTTTCAAACCATTTTTTCAGACCTGTATATATGTGTTTACTCCCAACATCTGCCCAAAAAACAATGCCACAACTGCAACACGTTTTGAAATACATTAAGTAAATGAAAAATACATTTTTTATCTAAAAATGTTTATTCTTGCAAACTATATTGCTAATTTTCAATTATAAACATACCGATATGAACGAAAACTCATCCCAAGAACAGATGCAATGTCAAGATCGGATGCTTTAACAACAATTTTTTCCTCTAGAACACGACATGCTTCATTCACCACAGGGAACAACACTATCTCTACTATTTCTTCATCAGTCATGGCTACAGTCTACATAGATAAAACACAAAATGACAAAATTGCCCTTAGTATGTCCCAAGGGTACAAATGGATTACCTTTCCTTGTGGCATAAGATTGGCTACCCTTTTCCATTGTTTTTACCTAAAAAATCCATGTCATTTAAACACATAATTGAGAGACAACACGAAAATGAAAATTACTAAATTACCATTTCGCCAATTTTTACGAAGAAGGTCAACTATAGGAGAGATGAAAGTGCGATCAGGAAAAGCAGTGGCGAATTCTTTTGACACAGCAACTGCTAAATCATATCCTATCAAGTCTTCAAGCCTAGAAACGATCACCGATTTGGAAAATTACCATTTTGCCCTTTTCTAAACTATTGAATTTATGATTAAGAAACAGAAACATTCTAGGGCCTAATATAGTAATATTTCACGTTTGCAACAGGCCATCGGGACAATTGTATCCAAAGGTGTTGGATCTGCTTCTTATGGAGGTATTTTTTGATCAACTTTTGTCATTAAAAAAAAAAACTTGAGTTTCTTGGAAATGGTGAGAGTTGAAGCTTTGCCATTTTTAGGCCCTTCCAAGTTGTTCCTGTTGGTCAAAGAGAACATTCTTGCATCAAATTTTGGTGAGTCGGAATGACATTCAGACAACGATCCATTAACCTTGGGGGCTTCAATTCCTGAGCTTTTCACACGAACATATGTAGTGAAGGAATGGCGGATTCCATTCTCAAGTTGTGGGAATGACGAATACCATAGTTGGAATTCTGAAGTGTTGATAGATGGTATGAAAGTGTCGTAATCAATGTCTGTTTCAATTTCAATTATATGGATTGCATCACATCCAGGAGCATTCAGTGACTCCCTGCAATTATAAAGATTGTAATCAACTACAAATTAGATATAAAGGAGCCAAAAAAAAAGAGCTTTTTTTTTTTTTTTTTACTTTTGCCACATTTGTTTTCCTACAATTTTTATTTTACAAAAAACTTTTATCAAAGTCTGGAAGCAAAAACACTTACAATCGTGAGCCCAATCGATGCTTTGTTGATTAAAGGTAGGAAACTTGAGCATTCATTGTTTAAAGGAAAGGAACTCGGTGTGTTAGATTAAGTATGCAAGGTCTTAAATTGTTAGAAGAATTTCTACCCATTTAACTTGGGAAATTCAGATTTGATAGTGGAATTGCAATGGCTTGAAACTATGGGTACTACACATATTAATTGGAAGACATAAGTGATGAAATTTCTAATATAAAATTATCATTATTATTAAGTGATTTACATGTCAAAAACCCATACCCAAAATCAAATACAAATTAATTTCACACATCAAGGGCTCAAGGACACCTTAAAGTTCAAATTTAGGTACCCATCTAATTATTTAACAATTCTTTTATAAATAATAATAATCTACTCAATTATTAATAATTTGCATTATCAACTTGTAATTTATTTTCCCATATACTTATTAAATTATCTTCATATTTTGTAAATACTAGAAAAGTAAGAAATCTTCTAACTGTGTCCATTCATTGATTTAAAGGGGGAAAGATGTTGTTCAACTCCAGCTGGAAAGGTGAGAGCTTTACTTATCCCAGTTTTGAAGATTTATTTTCTTATTTCTAAGCTCAAAAACATACATGACTCAGTATTCTCATATAACTATCATGCTTAATGTCATATCATGTGATCCTTTTTTTAAAGAACTAAAGAAGCCATTAATGATAAATGAATGTGTATAATTATATTGTAACATGACAATTGACAAATTCATATATGGCTAGGATTGACAAATTCATATATGACATCTGCTCTATGTTGTATATATGGAGGCAACACTAATTTAATAATCCATTATTGAATAAACACCAAACATAGTAAATCTTAGAAAGCACAGGTTCCATTTTGTAATTCAATTTAAAACTAAGTTAAATATGCCAGAAAACCAAAATGAAAAACAATGAGGAAACAGGAAATGAGAATTAGAAATGTTCCTTTCATTCAATAGACATTGGAAAAAGAAGCCGACCCCCAAAGTCAAGAGATTGACTCATAAGAAGCCATTAGAAGTTAGAGGAATAACATATGCTAAATCTATAAAAGTTGTTAAAAAAGATGATACATTTGCTTTGAAAGATTCACCCGTTGAAGATGGCAAGATAGAAGTGAATCTTGTTAACAACGGAAGCCAGTTGCCTAAAACAAAAGTGAAAAAGAAGCTGACCCCCAAAGTCAAGAAAATTCAAGAGAAGTCCACAAAAACCAACTACAATGAGTAAAAAAAAACCCCTTAAACACAAGCCAAATCTAATGACACATTGGAAACAAAGCCAAAAGCCAACACAAGTATGACAATATGACAAAGGCAAAAGTGATTCAAGTTAGAAAATGGTTATGCGAAAGAACATGACACTTACAAACGTCTCAGGTGTGAATATTCCTTCCAAAGATAGCCTTTTGAGATCACTTCAAGAAAAGAATTGATAATTAGTGTAATGTCTATAGAAAAGAATCACAATATAAAAGCGTATGATAAAGCTAAAACCGATAATTAGTTTTGTCTAGAGAAACCCATAAAGAAAATTATAATAAATTACAAGTAGTACTTTGGTGAATATCATCAATCAACTAAGCATGAAAAAGGAAATAAAAACCAAAATCATACATAAAGAACTCTTTATGTGTGATGGTTGAAAAATAACTAATCAGGTATAGCTTTTGTTTGCTTCACCAAAAAATTAAACGAAAAATCAAAAGAAAGTCACTAAAAGAGGAGTTGTCAGCAGTTGCTTTTAAGTGTAGCACTCAACAGCAGGAATCTAATCTAGGATGGAAATCCTCAAAGGTTGCAAAAAAGACGACTAATCTTTTACAAACAAGTGATTGTCTAGGAGCAGAAACTATTATAAAGTCGATTAAAAAGTCAAGAATTACTCAAGAAGCCATGATGTAGACATTTCAACTTTTTTATCTTGTTTTTCATGTGGTGTTCACTTATAAGTTTTCTACTGATGGTGTACTCCAAATTTGATGCAGAGTAAAAAGTCGATTACTATGGGTGTAGTTGGCTTGCCTAATGTAGGCAAGAGCAGTCTAATTAATAGCTTGAAAACATGTCATGTTGCTAATGTTGGGGCTACACCAGGTCTAACAAGAACAATTCAAGAAGTTCAATTAGACAAGAATATCAAATCGTTCGATTGTCCTGGTGTTGTGATGATTAAATCTGGGGAGAATGATGCTACTGTAGCTCTTCGGAATTGCATGAAAATTGAGAAACTAGATGAATCAACCCCTAACTCAAGTTCTAATTCTAAGTGTCTATTCTTATATAGATGCAATCGATGGTATCCCTAACACAATAACCAAAACGTTTCAAGGAAAATTAAACCCTAACGAAGTATATTGTGAAATTGAACTAGAACTAACCTAAGAGGGATGATATTTACCTAAAACGAAAGGTAAATTAAACCCTAACGAAGGTAAATTAAGAATACTTTCAGATTTAAAGATGTGGAGGTTGCTAGAATCAGATGAGTAGTGTCGTCTTCTGTTCGAACAGAGATGGTGAGATAAAGCAGAACCGGAACAGAGATGAAGGGAACTTACTCCAGAGTCAAGAGTCATAAAGCTATAGGGAAGGAAAGTTACATCACCTTCGTGAAGATGGAACTGGGTTGTGCCAATTTCAGCGCAAGAGATGGGCGATAGAAAAAACAAAACACGCGTATCCCAAGTATCATTTCCGTCGGCATTCTCTCGCTAAACGGGTACCAGATGGCACAATTTTTTATCCCTCGTTGAACCCTATCTAAGCGCCTTCATTTTTTGAGTGATTAGCGAGGAATAGTGGTGCATCGTTAAATCCTTGCGAGATCTGTAGTTGATCCCTCGGTAAATCCTCACTAATATTCTATATGTTACATAAATAAAATAATTATGAAAAACATGGTAGATATGTCGTATTTCCCTAGCTATAAGTCTAAATTTTTTCTAGAGAATAAATCTGTAGCAAAATCCGTAGCTGAAACTCAAGTTTCTAGTAGTGAAACCACCATAAACTGGAACTAACATGTCATCTTTCTCCCTTGGCATTTTGCTAACTATCTTTTTTGCTTCTTTCAGTAGCCCAACTCGACCTAAAAGATCAATTAAACACCCATAGTGTTCTATCTTTGGTTCAATTTCATACACTGATTTCATTGATTCAAAATGCTCCCACCCTTCCTAAATGTGGAATAGTGTAGTAAGAAGTTAGTTTTGGGAGTTAAAAAGTTATAATTGAGAGTTTTGGGGGTTAAAATGTAATTTCCGGATTTGTTTGTAAAGAATTTTTGAGGTTCAGGGTGGTTTGGTAAATTTTGGATTTAAATTGAAATATTGAAGGAAGGGGCTGAATGGTAAATATTGGATTAAAGTTGAAAAGATTTTATGGAGGCAGGGGCTAAAGTGTAAGTTTTCAACTTAAACTAAAATCAATATTATGGAAAAGGACTAATATTGGAAATATGAATTAAAGTTTGGATGGACACGGATTTAGACCCGGTACCGTTGTTTTTTCGGTTGGACGCCACGTTGCAGTTGCTGTCAGACCTTCGTACGCCACTGTGAGGTGGGTGGTTGTGTTTATTCCCGAGAAAGAAGCGTGTTTTGTGTGCGTGTTTCAGTTGTAAGTACGTGGTTCGTTTAGCCGGAAATCCAAGAATAGCCACCACCACCACCACCAAAAGGTGGTGGGTGCCACCATTATGTCACCGTCGACCACAACTAAGGTAGCTATGTGTGTGTGTTTATTTTAGTGTGTGTGTGTATGTGTGTGTTTAATAGGGTTTTTGTGATGTAAATTGTATTTTGGTAAATGAATAATAAAATGAAAAACTCATAACCACCAGCATGAGGTGGTGGCTGCCGCTACCAGCCGATGTGTTCGGTGGCAGTGTGCTTAGTTTGTGTTTGGATTGCTTTTGGAATAATTAGACATAATTTGAATAGAACCGTAACCACCACCGTGAGGTGATGGCCGCCGCCATGAGCCGCTGTGAGTCGCCGTTAACCACCACTTCCTAAGGTGATAGTTGGTGGTGCCCGATTTATGAAACCCTAATGGGCTTTATGAGACCATATTGAGCCTAATGAAGCCCTAATTTATCTAAGGACTTAGTTTCGGGCCCATTGGGCTATGATTAGTTTGAAAAGCCTAATTAGGGTTCAGAAAATCCTAATTTTGGAATTATTGATTTGGACTTATCGAGACCCACATATTGGGGCATTGGAATAGAATTGTGAATTGGGCCCGATCAGACCACATGATTTATTTTGAAGAGTGATGGACTTGATGGATTAAGTCCTTAATGGGTTAAGTGACAAACACTTAACCTTAATCGCCATTTTATATGAAAGCCCTAACTACACTTGGGCCTTGAGTTGAGCCTTTCTATTAGGCTTTAGTGCATGGGCTACTAATGGTCCATCCAAGAACTAGCATCTAGATTGGGCTATAGGATAAGGCCCATTGGACAGGTTTGGGTCCAATTAGGAAAATTGGGCCATAGATGGGCCATAACTGGGCCTTAATTAATGCCATATGTTTGGACTAGAATAAATGGTTGGACCTTAGGGTAAGACCATGAAGAGGTTTGGGCCCAATTTGGAAATCTGGGCCATATAGGGCTTTGATTTATAGTTTAACTTTTGGGCCTTTGGATTGGGTCTTGAGCTTGAATCAAGTTATGATAGGGGTAAAGCAGTCTTTTACCCCAAGCATGGACTTTTGGTTATGTGTTGGAACCCAATTAATAATTGGGTGTTATTTATATGTTGCAGATTTAGGAATCTATCATCCAACAGCTAGGGTTTTGTGAGCGGGACTTCAGAAGTGTGACGTGAGTTTACCTCCAGTAGGAATGGGCCGAAGGAACCAATGCTAGCCCGTTTATGTATGTTATCATATGTTAGACTTAGGTCTGATGCCCTCGATAACCCGATGTAGCTTATATGTTCTAGACTTCAGTCCGATGTCGGGGCGGTCCCGAGAAGCGTTTATGTATGCTTGATGTCTTTGTGATTCTTGCA